TGAGTGACAGATCCGATACCATCACGACACCAACCTAGACTTATCCACTAAAGCCCATGCTCATCAAGAACATACACTGTACTTTCTGTGTTGTTTTTCAGTAAAAAAAGTATATATTTATATAAAATATATGTACTTTATACAGATTTTTACTGAAAACAAGACAAAAAACTAATTAATTTTAACAATGTATATATACTGTAAAAAATACTAAAATAAAAAGAAATATATATATATATATATATATATAAACTATAAATATATATAACTAATTATGCATATAAAAATAAAAATAAGAATTTTTGTCTCTTCCTGCACTGTATATGAATTGTATTTTCTTGCTCTTTATTTACTGTATTTGTGTCATATTGTGCAAAAAGAAATTACACAAAAAAAACTAAACTAATTCTTGAAACTAAATAAAACGTAATTAACTCTTCTGTATTATATTTGTTATATCAACATGCATTATTATATGTTGTGTTTAGCACTTTTAAGGACCTTTTACTAAAAAATAAATGAAGAAAAACTTTTTAGATGTATGAGCCAAAGATATGACCTCATGCTCCATTCTTAGCAATGACATAATCCTGAACAATTCTATCCAATCATCTTTCACGGCACCTTATTTGACACGCACTGCTTATTCATTAAGCCAAATTACATTTCCATACTTATTTATTCTCCTTATTACTCCCGATGGCAGCTCACCTCCCGCTTTTAATTATCACATTAATAATACAGACATGAGCTCCATTAGAAGGAGGAGATCAGAAGACATGGGCAGCTTTTAATGGAGGATGAGATTAGCTGGAGCATCACGCATGAAGCGCCCACCTGTGTGCTGACCAGGTTCGAGCAGCATCAGGTCAGCTCAGTCCTGCGTTCTGAAAAACTCAGCTTTGTTCTGATTAGGATGGTGGGCATTTGTGGGGAAACAGTGGGAAGATACAAAATTAATCATACTTTAATGCAGAAATGTAATGGGTAGCTGAGGTGAGGATTCTTTCAGCACAAAAACATCTTATGCATTTTAATTAGACAGGTTTTAAATTAAAGAAAAGATTCAGTTCTATTTGGCCAATTCACTGCAGCACTGAAATACTACACAATATACAAGAAATATTATTTGAAACTTATATCCAACAGGTATTCTCTTCATTTACACAAATTACTTAACGGGTTAAAAATGTCCTTGTATATTGAGTCTTTGTTTTACGCAATTGGGAAGTAAATGAAATTAAATGAAATGAAACGAAATTTAATGAATGAATGAGTATGGTTTAGCCTGTTCTTGTGGCTTATGGATTTGATCTAAAGCTGATTTTAGTATTTAAAGATTTATACAAAGATGTTCGTAACTGAAAACTTGACATATTAATATGTAAGTGTCACACAGTATAACTTCTATCTGATTCTAGTTGACATTTATAATAACAAGAGATGTACTCTGCATGAATGATGGCATTCAGACGATTATATGTCATTTTTGTTGGAGATTTTAAATGGACAACAGAAATGTCAGATTTCATCAAAAACAGCAATATTGTGAAATATTATTACAATTTAAAATAACCGTTTTCTATCTGAATATATTTTAAAATGTAATTTATTCCTGTGATGGCAAAGCTGAATTTTCAGTAGCCATCACTCAAGTCTTCAATGTCTCATGATCCAGAAATCATTTGAGTGAAAGAACTGCATTCATGTTAACTGTCATACTGCATAATTAAACGTTATTCAAAACAGAACAGACAGAATGCTGTTGGCTTTATCTGCATGTTATAATGTAAAATTTACTTCATTTTATCTGCCACTTTATAACTTCAACATTATGATTCTTAAAAAAACAAAAAAAAACAACACACCACAGGCATTATGGTACAGCGGGAGCACAGGCAACCCAACTGCTACTACAGGAAATGACTAAACACCCTGTGGATGTACAGTCTGGACCAGCTACTCATGCTGAACCTGCTCAGACTCATGGCCCTACTGCGCACCCCTCAGAGATCCAACATGCCCCATTGCCCAAACCCGCTGGAGACGGCAAGAATCAATCACGAGTATCTTCAGCATCATGAGCTGACTGAAGGAGAGGGGGTTATTGAGCAGGAGGAGAAGCATTCTGGGTCTCGGAGGAAGATTTGTAAAACATACTAAATATCCACCAATCTTGACCTAAAGTTAAAGATTTCTCGAAGTTCAATTAATTATTAAACAAGCCTGTCTGCCACAACCTCCCTTCAAACGTAAAGATGAAGAGGTGAGGTGGTGAAGGCAATAACAGCGATTCCTAACCTCTTGAAGTACTTATATCAATTAGGACTTTTAATAATACTATTAGGATTGTCATAACATTGTTAAGCAGTTAATTAACTGCTTCACACATTCTGCTACTTTTTAAGGAAAGAAAACAAAATAACAGGCCTATGTTTAGTCAATTTGTGTGGATCACACTTTCTGTACAAAATAAATGCATGTGTAAAAACAACAGAAGATTTCTATGACACTGCTGTTCAATCTCACTCACACACGAGTATAACACTTTATCCTATTTTCTTCCCATAAAATGTCTCAGTCAATCAAGCTAATATAAGTTTTAGTTTTAGTGGCACATTAAAAAATAAAGACAAAAATCTAAGATTACGAGATTAAAGTCTAAATATTTTGAGAAAAATTTTGAAATTACGAGAATAAAGTCGAAATATTTTGAGAATAAAGTCAAAATTACAAAAAGAAGTCAACATACTTTGAGAATAAAGTCGAAATTACAAGAATAAAGTCAAAATATTTTGAGAATGAAGTCGAAATTATGAGAATAAAGTCTAAATATTTTGAGAATAAAGTCAAAATATTTTAAGAATAAAGTCAAAATTACGAGATTAAAGTCAAAATATTTTGAGAATAAAGTTGAAATTACGAGAATAAAGTTGAAATATTTTGAGAATAAAGTTGAAATTACAAGAATAAAGTCAAAATATTTTGAGAATAAAGTCAAAATTACGAGAATAAGTCGACATACTTTGAGAATAAAGTCAAAATTACAAGAATAGTCAAAATATTTTTAGAATAAAGTCGAAATTATGAGAATAAAGTCAAAATATTTTGAGAACAATTTCAAAATATTTTGAGAATAAAGTCAAAATATTTTGAGAATAAAGTCGAAATTATGAGAATAAACTTGAAATATTTTGAGAATATTCAAAATATTTATTTAATGTGGCATGACAGATCGCTGTATTCACCTCATGTGAATCAATTAATTGATCAACTTTATTCTCATAATTTTTACTTTATTCTCAAACTATTTTGACATTATTCTCGTAATTTTGACTTTATTCTCATAACTTTTTCCCCCAAAATATTATGACTTTAATCTCATAATCTTAGTTTTTTTTTAACATGCCACTAAAATGCTGTCATAGTTTTTCACCCACAGAATTGATTGTTTATTTTTTTTAGTTTAACAGTAAATTATTGTATTCATGACATTTTAAAAATATAATTTATAACACCAAATAATATCTAGTATAATATGAGGAGCACAATTCTGGTTTGGAGTCGATGAGGGGCTACTTGAGTCGAACTGAAGGACCTGTGGGAGCACATAAGACAAAAACAGTTAGGAAACACTGGCTAAAAAGGCAGATATTCAGGATGCTAAAATTGATTCTCTAGAAGGCAGAAATCTGTGCCAGAGTTTTGGTGACTTGATCCTTGACATTGAGGGCTCCTCTGCACTCCCTCCAGCACAGGAGAAAAACTCATTTCTAGCAAACACCAGGGATGCTAGGAATGAACTTTACAGTCAAATCATCTTTTGCAGTAATTGTTCATGAAGTAACATTTCAGCACAGTTTGTATTTTGTATGAAAGAATGAGCAGGAATGTAGTTGTAGCTGCTCAGTGTGTTTATGTGACGGTGGCATTGAATGAATTTTCTTTATGCTTTGACATCTTTGAATCGACTATTTAATCTATCAGGGCCACATAAACAGTGACATTCTTTGGCACAATCATGATGGCTTCCTTCCCAGCACAGAATGTGAAGGATCGCTCTGTCTTCAATACGTTGCATTCAATGAGTCTGAACGCATTCCAGAATTAATTGTGATATTTCACTAGAAGCCAAGGAATGAGACATTGAGATTCGGTGGACATTTCTGGCACAGCATCGTTATTCTCGTTCTCTCTTCCCCTATCTATTTCTCTCTTGGGTCCTAATTAACTCCTGAGGGCCTGAGAGCCCTCTGACACAGCTGTCTGTCCCCTAAGGCCAACTGTTCACTATGCTGTTGTGACCAGGCCATTTCAGCCCCATTTACTCCTCAACTGCACTTACTGGAGAGCAAACAGCTGCAGCTAATAGTGCATAATACTGTAATGTTGACACATACACTCACAGACACACACCTTCAACAATTACAAAACGGATACACTAAACAGACAGGGCAAGAATGGATATTAGGGGGATATGAATTAAAAACTCACATAACCAACACTCAGATGCTCACCTGTACTCAACTCTGTATGAAATGAAAAACACTCGAAACACACATATGAGATTCATAAATATTTATGGAAAAGGAAATGACGTGATGTGTGGCCAAGTATGGTGTCCCATACTTGGAATTTGTGCTCTGCGTTTAACCCATCCAAGTGCACATACACAGCAGTGAGTAGTGAAACGCACACACACACACCGTGAACACACATCCGGAGCAGTGGGCAGCCAATGCTGCGGCATCCGGGGAGCAGTGGGGAGTTCAGTGCCTTGCTCAAGGTACCTGCAAGTACCTTCATGCATAAAGTAAAGTATGCCTGTTTAGTAACTGACTGACTGGATTTTTATTTATTTTTTTTTTTGCTTAAGACATTAGTAGATGGTTTGGAGTCATGTGGATTACTTGTGGATTTTTGTGATGTTTTATCAGCTGTTTGGACTCTCATTCTGACGGCACCCAGAGGATTCAGTGGTGTGCAAGTGATGTAATGCTACATTTCTCCAAATCTGTTCTGATGAAGAAACAAACTCATCTACATCTTGGATGGCCTGAGGGAGAGACTTTTCTTTTATTATTATTTTATGTTTTAGTTTTTAATTTAATTTGGCCCATGGCATCAGTTCTCAATTAAGTGTGTGCCTGACAATTGCATTTAAGTTCTAATGCAAGACCACAATATTTTTAACAGTTTTTTCAAAGACTAATTTGCCTACGAAAATAGTTCCAAACAAAGCAGAACAGTTGCATCTCAAAGCAACGCTGAGTGGTGTTTCACTTTTTTTTTTGAATAATTCAGTGTTTTTGAATGAAAAGTCAGTGATTCAATGACCAGTTCTTAAATACAGTGGTCACTTGCTTCATTCATGAATGAATCAGCTGGTTTGAATGAATCATTAAATGAATGATTCTATGATTCACTTATTGCCACTTGCCACACTTGAGTACATTTTCAGCAAATTTTCACTTTTGGGTGAACTATTCCCTTCTTAGTGCTGAGTTATAATTCTTTACCAAGAAATTCTAATTAAAATATAAAACTGTTCGTTTCTTTATTAGGCTATGCAAGATACTGTATGTGAACATCTAAACTTCCTTGAAACAATTCTTCAAAGTCAAATCATTTTTGTTCTATAATGTGATGCATTTCAAAGCGAAAAAAAAATATTAATTGAGAAAATGTGGTGTGGGAATCAATTTGATTTTAAATAGTGGCCATTTCATATTTGAATGGAGCCAGACTAAATGAGAGTTTGCTAAAACAACAACTAAATAGCTATTTGGCTATTGGTTAACATTATCCAATAGACAATTAACGTAAAAGGAACGTCGTTTCAGAGGAAGTTATTACATTTTGATTAAAGATTCCGATTTCTTTTGAATAATGTGCACCGATAAACCATTCCCGTGCAATAAGACCAGGAACAAGCATTAAGACAGTCAATAGAATCCATTTTGATTTCATGCTGACTTTAATGATCACTTCAGTTTTGAGCTGATATTTCCAAGTCATTAGGATGAGATACTGCAGCTCTTAAAGCTTTTCTGTTTGGGTCAGGGATGCACTGATTTATTGTCATTTGCCAACCTTAACTTGATTTGGACTGTGAGAGAGTGAGAGAGTTATGGGACAGAAGCAAGTGGGACATGGCATACTGAAATATGACAATTTTTAAATTGGGTTCTAAAGGGCGCATGGAGAGCCAGGCACAGGCAGTCACAGAGCGAACGATGGAAAAGAACAATTAGCCAAGCACAGGGAAGCCACCACACCACCACCCAACATCAGTTACCCCACAAAGACCAAATCACAACCCTGTTGCCTGTCAGATGGAACTGGATTCGGCCAAACTCATTAGATACACACACACAAAATCATCTGCTCAGCTACCAGCCACTTACGCTGTCTCCGTTTTATTCAGAAAGCTTTTTAGACTTCAAGATTTGTGACAAGCTCGGGGGCAATATGTCTCATGGGGCCATTTTGAGATTGTAGTAATATTTGAAAGCATTTAGGAGGCTGATTCTATTGTAATATATGCTACTTTTTACACACTTAGCAAAAACTGTCAGAATAAAAACACTAATAGACAGAGTGCATGGGTTGTAGAGAGATAACAGCCTCTTCCATTTTGAAATAACGTATATTATACAACATTTCAAGGAGTTCTGGATGCTGATTGGTCAAAATAGCATTCCAGCCATCCTAAAATACACAAAATAATCCTTAGTGAGGCGAGACACCATATTTAATCTGACACAAATGAAAACAAGGCTGCAGAGGAATAGCTGTACAGTTCATTCAATAGGTTGTACTGTTGGTCTCTTGATGCCAATCTTTCGGCTAATAAAACAATGAAAAAATGTTTCCGGTGGACAAAATGCACATACAAAATGAAAACACGGGCTACCATGAAAATTAAACGTGACCTGGAACCTTAAGACAGTACAACTTATTCATCAGGCTGTACTCGCTCCCTTGTGCACTCATTTTTATCCGTGTCAAATTAAACATGCTGTCTTGTCTACGCTGGCAAGGGTCCACAGTAACCGCAAAGTTGCAAAACACTTGTTCTGCTGCACAGCACCAACTATTAGTCTTACTTTACATGTCAGAGAATATATCTGCAAGTATAATGATGCCACTTAATGAATTTACTTAATGTTTTAATGAACATTTATGTCCTTATTATACGCTAAATCACACTGTATTGTGAATATGAGTCTAAAATGGAAGAACACAGTATTAGTATGTAGTTACACGGTCATCAGATCGAAACACTTACTTGTCTGTCATCTCCTGTCCGTTCCAGCAGAGAGAGCTGTTGAGTGCCGTCGGCTCTTTGCTGCACAGAGCTTCTCCGAGGCCACTGTAGAACTGACTGAAGCCCCTCAGACCCGAGATAAACTCCCTGCGGCAGACAGAGAGGAAATTGAGAAAGTAAGAGAGCAGCAGAAAGAAGAAAGAGAGAGAAAGTGGACTCGAAGAAAGATAAATTAAATTAGATGGTGTGCACAAAGAGGCAAGATTAAAAAGAATCCATGGAACAAAGATACAAGGATTTATGGGAAAATTGTGGGGCATGGAGAAAAAAGAGAGAAAATCAGAAAAATGAAAATGGGCTTGGGGTCAAACGCAGTGTGAAAAATGATCTACTCCATTACTTGTCATTTCCTGTCAGGCTAAGTTGATTTGAGACGCTTTGACTGTTAATTGACATTATGCTGGAGAAGAAACAGCCCACTGTGTTTGGCTCGGCCGCTCTCATCTGTTCATCAGAGCGAGGGAGAGTGAAACTGCACAGGACAGAGGGGGCAGAAGGCAGCTCAATGTCACTCACACGGCAGGAGACAAAGCCTGTGTTATAATGAGCATCTCTCTGTCACCATCAGCCTGAACACACATACACACACTGCAACTAACAGCACAAATACACAAACACACACTGCATTTCTCAACTCATGCACATACCTCCACCCACAATGACTCATGTGCCAGATTTTGACTGATTTTGAAAACAACAAATATCTTAATTAATTATTTCTTTATGTAGACTATACATTCAAAAGGTTGGGGTCAGTAAAAGGTTATTTTAATTTGATTTGTTCTTTTAATTCATACTTTTATTCAGCAATGGTGCACTAAAGTGATCAAAAACGACAGTAAAGACATTTATTACAAATAAATGCTTTTGTTTTTTCGAACTTTTTGTTAATCAAAGAATCTTGAAAAAAAAAGGTTGGGTTCTACAAAAATATTAAGCAGCAAAGTTTTCAACATTGATAATAATAAGAAATGTTTCTTGAGCAGCAAATTAGCATATTAGAATGATTTCTGAAGGATCATGTGACACTAAAGAGACTGAAAAGAAAATTCAGCTTAGCATCACAGGAATAAATTAAATTTTAAAATATGTTTTAGTTCTTTATAATAGTTATAATAATAGTTATAATAGTCTTTATAATAGTTATAAATACATTATAACTTAGAAAGTGTTACTACTTTATAATAGTTATAAAGACTATAATAGTACTTTATAATTGTTCTTTATAATAGTATAACAGTTCTTTAAAATTATAATAATATTTCACAATATTTTTGACATTTTAGTTTTTATTCTCTTTAATCATATAAATGCAGCCTTGGTGAGCATAAGAGATTTTTTTCAAAGGTACTGATCTCAAACATTTGAATGGTAGTGTACAGTATGTGATAGATATATAATCAATTACTATATTTTTACATTTAGAATGTGTATATACTACACATACATACATATTAATAAATACTATGCATTATACATCAATCTGGACATCAAAATTTGAACTCAAACACATCTTACACTCAAGTACATTTTTTTCTAATTTCTTGTCTTTGATGTTGAAAGAAGTAGAAGAAAAGTACAGAAATAGAAAAAAGGTGAATGTCGCCCCTGCACACAGCATCTCTCAAATACTCAAAAGCACAGAATAGACTGTTTGCTTTGGTTGTAAGACCCCTAAAAAGGTCTGTGAAGATCTATACAGAAAAAAACATGAAGGAAGAGAGAGAGCCAGAGGAGGAGAGCGTGTGAGTGCTGAAGTGGAGAGTCTTTTACAGCATCTCAATGCACTCCACACAAACAGCATCAGAAGATGTGAGCTGTATGAAGAGATGCATGAGAACGGCATTATGGTTGACTGCAATTCCTATTTCTCAGATTTATTATACACTCATTAGATTTTCACTGAATTGACTTGCTGTCAATTCTATAACAGCAATGCTTTGCAGTCCTCTTGGAGTGTTTAGAGCACTTGAGGACTCTCAAGAGATTCAAATGAAAACAAGAACATTTATATTTTCAGCTGCTGATTGGCATTTTTAAGAGCTGAGGGTAAAGAGCATATTAGAATGATTTCTGAAGGATCATGTGACACTAAAGAGACTGAAAAGAAAATTCAGCTTAGCATCACAGGAATAAATTAAATTTTAAAATATGTTTTAGTTCTTTATAATAGTTATAATAATAGTTATAATAGTCTTTATAATAGTTATAAATACATTATAACTTAGAAAGTGTTACTACTTTATAATAGTTATAAAGACTATAATAGTACTTTATAATTGTTCTTTATAATAGTATAACAGTTCTTTAAAATTATAATAATATTTCACAATATTTTTGACATTTTAGTTTTTATTCTCTTTAATCATATAAATGCAGCCTTGGTGAGCATAAGAGATTTTTTTCAAAGGTACTGATCTCAAACATTTGAATGGTAGTGTACAGTATGTGATAGATATATAATCAATTACTATATTTTTACATTTAGAATGTGTATATACTACACATACATACATATTAATAAATACTATGCATTATACATCAATCTGGACATCAAAATTTGAACTCAAACACATCTTACACTCAAGTACATTTTTTTCTAATTTCTTGTCTTTGATGTTGAAAGAAGTAGAAGAAAAGTACAGAAATAGAAAAAAGGTGAATGTCGCCCCTGCACACAGCATCTCTCAAATACTCAAAAGCACAGAATAGACTGTTTGCTTTGGTTGTAAGACCCCTAAAAAGGTCTGTGAAGATCTATACAGAAAAAAACATGAAGGAAGAGAGAGAGCCAGAGGAGGAGAGCGTGTGAGTGCTGAAGTGGAGAGTCTTTTACAGCATCTCAATGCACTCCACACAAACAGCATCAGAAGATGTGAGCTGTATGAAGAGATGCATGAGAACGGCATTATGGTTGACTGCAATTCCTATTTCTCAGATTTATTATACACTCATTAGATTTTCACTGAATTGACTTGCTGTCAATTCTATAACAGCAATGCTTTGCAGTCCTCTTGGAGTGTTTAGAGCACTTGAGGACTCTCAAGAGATTCAAATGAAAACAAGAACATTTATATTTTCAGCTGCTGATTGGCATTTTTAAGAGCTGAGGGTAAAGAGTAGTCAGGTCATCCTCATGTTTCATTACGGCTGAATAACAAGGTCAGCCATTAGAATCAGTGAGGCAGTTGAGCTCCAAAAGCATAGTGAGTGCCATAAAAATGTTCATTTATTTTAAACAGACTGGAATTTAATTCATTGTTTGTGTTCAGCCAGTCAAATATGGTGTTAAGGGCTGTCGCACAAGGTCTGAAATCAGAATATTCGGAAGTGCAAACAGACATGTGCACCGACAAACCCAAAGTGATGCACAAACACCTGCCCTTTTGTTCTTTTGACTTATAAGTGGCATTTCTGCAAGATTTAAAAAAAAAAATGTATATATTAGTTTTTAATTAAATTTGGCCCATGGCATCAATTCTCAATTAAGCTTGTGCCTGACAAGTATGCGCCTGCATTTAAGTTCTGATTACGCAAGATCACAAGATGATTAACTGTTTTTGCAAAAACTATTTTGCCAACTAAAATAGTTTGAAACCAAGCAGAACAACTGCATCTCACAGCAACACTGAGTGACATTTCATTTTGAATGTTTCAGTGTTTTTGAATGACTCGGGTAAGCCAATGATTCAATGACCAATTCTTAAATACAGTGGTCACTTGCTTCATTCACATGTGAATCAGCTGGTTTGAATGAATCATTAAATTAATGATTCTGTGACTCACTTATTAAGACTTGCCGCCACCTACTGGTGCTTTCATATAAATAATAGTATAATAATTTTTTTCCCAACACTTTCAGGTTGATTTAAAGTTGCAATCTAAGTAGCGACAGGCCTTTACTTTCATTTGTCATCAGTCTAAACTTTTTTTTTTAAATATAACAAAATTCAACATTCTCTTTTAATTCAACCTCAAGTTCAAGATCAAGTTCAGACATTTTACAAAAATACAACAAATGCAGAGATAACTTTAGGACATAAACTATTACTCTAGGAAAACAGTTTTCATGTTAACTGTCTGATGTTTTTTTTTTGTATTAATTCACATACAAAGTTTTTGAAAACTGAATTATGTCATTACCTGCGGCGTCCAAAGAGGGTCTCATCGGGGTCAAAGTTCACCGTAGGACGATTGTGGGGCACCGGCGAGGCAGCTGCAAGTTCTGCCGACAGCGGCGCGGCACGAGACACCCGCGGGGGTGCGTGTGCACATATCCCGCTCACCTGTGAACAGGAGAAGATTGGAGGGCTAAATGTGATCACTCTTGGACACAGTCCTGGAAGACGTCCAGCTGAGAAAGCAATTAATGAGACAAACTGTCCCTGCAAAACTTCCTCCCCATTCAGCTAATTGCCTGGCTGATGGTGCCGCATTTGCCTCCTGTTTGTTTGTTTGTTTGGGTTTGATGACAATAGGATTTACATAACAAAACGAGGCATTGTTGGGTCTGTCAGACACTCTGGCTGCGCTCTTTCAATAATCATAACCCTTTGCAGACGTTGCGAAAGTAAACAAGCCTCTCATTCCCTTTCTCATGAGCGCTAAACGCTATTGTTTTTATACGGGACAACATAATAATAGTAATACCCCTCTCCCACACTGGCTGTGTGAGATAATGGAGTCTTGCCATTCTTTCAGGTGCAATAAAAATGCAAATACCTCTTAATGTTTAGCTTGTGGTTTAATGATTTGCCGCTGGCTTAATTTCCCATGGGAACTGGTGCTTGTGGCATATTGTGCCTGCTTGTTCATGAATGAATATGTGTGTGTCTGGGTAAACAGGCTCTGGAATTCTGATGGGATCTGGGACAGGAGATCAATAGTACAAGGACATCTTCATGCGGACTGTGGGATTGGTCGCTGTACACTCTAAAAAATGCTGGGTTGTTTCAACCCAATGTTGGGTCAAATATTGACTAACCCAACTGTTGGGTTAAAAAGTTAATTTAAAAATGTAACCAAAATTTAACCCAACAGTTGGGTTAGTCCATATTTGACCCAACATTGGGTTGAAACAACCCAGCATTTTTTAGAGTGTAGCTAAACATAACAAGAAGATAAACGTTTGAACATGTTCTGAAACATCAGTGGGTGGGGTGACTGGATTCACCCTACAGTCATTCATAAAATTTGCACACACACCAACAAATACAGCAACAAACTGCTGTTGAGCTAAACGACATGATTATCAGAGTAGATCAATAGAAGCTCTTTCTAGCAAACAGCCCAGGGGAGGGTAAATAGATACGGTTGATGTGCATGAATGTGTGTGTGTATGTGTGTGAAAGAGATTAAGAAAAAGAGCAAAACACAGAACAAGACAGAGACAAAAGCGGTACGGTGGAAGATCGGATCAGTGCGCCTCGACACAAATGCAATCCTGACGCAACATATTCCAGCACTGCAACACTTTCTACCGTTGCTTTTCTGTATTTTTCTGTGGTTCCACAGGTAATATGATATCTCACTCAAACCCAAGCTATTTAAAAGTGCAGGTATCGAAGTTACAAACTACTTTATACAAAAATAGCCAAGCTATGTTCAAGCTACTCTGTTAAAAAAAGAGTGTGATGAAAAAAGTGGAAAAACATCTTACAAGTGATGTGCAATATTGTTTACTTTATTATTATGCTTATTTAAAAACATATTTTTAAAAGATTTTTAAGGTAATTCTATAAACGAGAACATGACTTGATGAGTAACTTACATTTTAGTTACTTTCAGTCGAAATAGTTACACTATAGCCTGTGTTATAGTTTCCGCGTGCGCTAGTCCGCTAGGGTCCGCTATGGTATGCGTGACGTAAAAATCGTCATCGGAGAGTGTGCGCCGAGGCTTCGCGCGGACATCCGCGTGCCTCCAATTTTTTGTGACTTGTCCGCGCGGTCTGTAGGCTACAAAAGCACCAACTGCGCATGCGCAGGCTGTGCGAATAAGCCCGTTGCTACTCGAACCTGTACAATCCGTCGATAAAACAATATAAAGACAGCTAGATGTGCAATAACTGTGGGCAATTGTTTCTCCACATGTTTGTTTACTGTTCAAACCAATCTACTGCAAGTATGGAACACGTCCGCGGAGCGGACCATCAGCGTAATGCTTTCGGTAGTATAAATACAAGTAGACCACGTCCGCGCTGTCCGTGTAGGCGTCCGGATTGCTCATGCGGAAAGTATAACACAGGCTTATGAAGGCAGATCCTGTAGGAATCCTGTATTTTAGCATGAATGATTCAATGACTCGCTTTTAAATACAATCACTTGCTTTGTTGCTGAATGAATCAGTGTTTTTGAACAAATTGGTTGAATGAACGATTAATTGCCTCACTCTGTGACTTGCTGCCACCTGCTGGAGTAATGATGTAAATTACAATTTTTTTGAAACACGCAACAGGCAAGCGGAGTGAGTTATAAAAATATGTAAAAGTCCCAGTGCTTTTTTAACGCTGATATAAGCTATAAACAAGCACATCAATCACAATGCACAACGCTTCTTCCTTAAACAACTCTAAAATGTATTTTGGGATGCAACTCATCATATTAATATAGTGCTTTCACTAGTTAGCAGTAAACCTGTTGTTGCCTCACCTGAATATACTTGTATATTTGTGTTGAAAGTCTGTGACGTGAAAAGCAGCTTTATCTGCAGACTGCAAAGTATACATTCAAATATGTTCCCTCCTCCAAATCATTTACACTGGAACAGCTCTTATTGATTCTAACTCAAATGGGTGAATTGTGACTAAATGATTCAGACCTATTGAAAAGAACCGAATCAGAAGGGTCATATCGTATGTAAAATCAATCATGCCTATAAATCGAAAACAGAATACTGTACAAGTCTTGTTTGCTCAAATGTAATATTTAATAAAATAGCATGGCTGCTGAAACACTTCATGATTTAAAAAACAGCAATGGTACCATTTATTCAGCAAAGCGAATTTAGTTAAACTAACAGCATCGCCACTTTCAAGCAATGGTACTGCTTAAACCTGGACACATCAAACACTCTCCTCTGCTCATGTTAAAACACTCTCTACTCTAACTATCAACTGCAAACCTGCATGTACACTATCCACTCTAATCCCAGACACCCACACATTCTTCCCTAATGCTCTCTGTGGTATGTGCTCATGGGAAATCATTAGTGGCCGGTCTGAAACATGGCTCTTTCCTGCTGTAATTTACTCTGTGTTGCGGGTCTGTGTCCCTACGGCCTTGATTAATGTGATTGGGTGTGTGTTTGTCTCTGTTAGTGTATGCGTGTATCCAGGGCCCTTGGGGAGCTGTGGCACAGGAGTATAGAGCGGGTTTGTGTATGTGAGACTGTGTGATTGTTTCTCTCATTAGAGGGGTATTAGTATCAGGCAGTCGACAGAGGATGTGCTGGCTAACAGTAACACTGAGATAAGCGGCGTCTCACAGAGAGGCTCTTTAAATATCCAGTGCCTTTTATCTGTGCCTCACACACCCCTGAGAGGAGCATTAGGACCAGACACACACACATACACATTCATTAATATAAAACAAATTCACTCTCACATACACTTCATGACATGAGTGTGCAATGTTTAATACAGACATACATCCTAAGCTGAAACAATGGCTTATCAGCATAGCTGAAAATACAAAATGAATCATATGTGAAGGTTAAATGATAAACGAGGCCCAAGTAGAAGACAATGCTGGGATTTCTGCAGAGATACTAAAGCAATAAGCCATTCAAGACCACATGATGCAGTGATTTTACATTGGTTAAGAGTTAGCGGTTCTCAAACAGGGGCCCGGGGCCTACTAGGGGGCCTCAGAAAACATCCAAAGGGGGCTGCAGGATGACTTAAAAAAGTATTTAAGTTAATTATTATTAATATATTAAGTCCATCACCAACAGGGAAAAAAAATCAAGCACTTAAATGCTTGACAATAACTACTATTAGGCAAATCAAATACATTCATTTCTAAATCTAAATTAAAATACTAAAAAAAAACTCAAAAAAACACAAAATCAACATGTGGACTCAAATCATATTCGATTAAATAACTATTGTTTTTACTGAAGTACATGCAGCTGTAATATTGTGTTGGACAATGGGGGCCTTTGAGTCAAAAAGGTTAGAGTAAAGAGGACTTTACTTGCTTAATACTAATAATAATCATAGCCAGATTTAGCCAGAAAATGGGAGTGGTGCAAAAGTTACTAGCACTAAATTGCTGATTAAAATGCTGCCAAATTCAGCCGATGTGCAGCAACAGGTGGGTGTGTGTGTGTGTGTGTGTGTGTGTGTGTTTGTATGGGCTATTTTACAATGAATACAGCTTATCTCATCAGATGTCAGGAGTAAGATCCATAAGCGGAGATTTAGCTAGGGATAAAAGATTTAGTTCTGTCAATAAAACAGAAATCGCTTTGACAGAGCATTTGATGTACAGTAATGTGTAAGCGGCATTTCGAAAGCGTAGAAAGAGCCATGTCAGATTGAAATTAAGTAAGAATACAGCGATTTCCTGGACCTGTCTTTCATGATTCAGAGTGGCTTAGAGAATATACTTTAAATGCCAGAGCTCTGAATCTTGATCTAATAAAATTTTTAAAAAATAAATTAACAAAGCAACTGTTTGTCAGTAGCTAGGGATAAAAGATTTAGCTTTGGGTGTCAATAAAACAGAAATCGCTTTGACAGAGCATTTGATGTACAGTAATGTGTAAGCTGCATTTCGAAAGCGTAGAAAGAGCCATGTCAGATTGAAATTAAGTAAGAATACAGCGATTTCCTGGACCTGTCTTTCATGATTCAGAGTGGCTTAGAGAATATACTTTAAATGCCAGAGCTCTGAATCTTGATCTAATAAAATTTTTAAAAAATAAATTAACAAAGCAACTGTTTGTCAGTAGATTTGTCAGTAACGGTGGTATATGTGATTGTATTTCATTTAGCAGTTTTGTGTAGAAAACTGCCGAATGGTGAGAAGAATAATACTTAAAGTGGCAGTTTCTGTCATTATTTACTCACCCTCAAGTTCTTCCAAACATGTGTGTGTTTATTTCTTCGGTTGAACATAAAAGATATTTGGAAGACTGTTAGTAACCAAACTGTTGCTGGTCCCCATTGACTTCCATTGTATGGAGAATAAAAAAATACTATGGAGGTCAATAGGGACCAGAAACTGTTTGTGGTTACTTAACATTTCTTCAAAATACCTATTTTTTTGTGTTTAGCAGAAGA